TATATATATATATATATATATATGCTGAATACATGCATGAATGCATATGTATATGTATATATGTATTGTTATGTGTATGTATATGTATGTGTATGCGTATGAATATGTATATGTATATGTGTATGTATATGTATGTGTATGTGTATGTATATGTATGTGTATATGCATGTGATCTTTGCTTACATCAAAAAAATCAGTTTCTTCGATTATCGCCAAAAAGCAAACATTGAAATATTCAGAGTCGTGTACCGTTGCGGAAAAACCGAAAGTAAATAAATAAACAAATGAATGTGAAACGTAAACAAATTACTGAATTAAGCATGGATAGACCGGAATGGATCGTTCATCTCAATATAATTCACTACGGCATTGATGAAAATTCATGAAAGAAATAATGTGAGTGGAAAAAGGGAATATAAATATAAAATGAAATTAATGGAGAAATTGAGAAAGAACATCATCAAGAATATAAGGGAACTATCTTCCAGAAATAATAACTATCGTTGGGAATGAACGTAAACTATATAATATGGACCTAAATGGTTATCTACCAAACGATTCCAATCATTCCTTCATCATTGTAATGAAGCTATTTTTGAATAACCATCCAATAACAGAGGAGAAGGAATAAAATATTTGTGATGTCTTTTAACCTACATTAACTTCGCCAAAGTATTCCCACACATTTTCATTCCACTTATTTAAGGATTAAATTCCGATAATGAACAGGTCGGGATAACACAGATGACTTGAAAGAAAAATATTCTGGATTAAAGTAAAATATGGAATGAAATTGCAAATGAATAGTTTCAATTTCCGTAGGGACAGGTTACGAAGTTAATACATTTAAAAGTATAATATATTGGAACCCAACATCTGTTAATCGCTGTGATTAACGCATCGATTCCAATCTTCTTCGCTTTTTAACCCAAAGGTTAAAGAAAGGCTTTTCAACCACTTCACTCTTTGTCTTACAAAATACTAAAGCGTACATTCTAAATTACAATAACTTCTTTCATTAACAACCATATTGATAATAAACAACTTGCATTAGAGATCCTAAAAATAATGATGTATACATAAATATTACTGACAAAACATTGGTAAAATGAATGAAAAGATAAATGTGTAAAGGAAAGCGCCAGTAGTTAAGCAAATAAAAGCTTATCATTTTTGACAAGCAAACTTTGGATATGAGAAATAAAGAATTGATTCTAGAAAGCAATGTTTGAAGAAACGACATTATCGACCACTTCCTGTCTCTCTACTTTAGATGTACATGAGAAAGCACTCAAATATATCAAATTGTAATCATAACTGTTTTAGGATGTACATCTCCTCCTCAGCTGAAGAATACTTAACTATCATCGAAAATGATTTCTACTAATCAGCAGCATGAATTATTATTTAGCAGGAACGAGATAACTTAAGAAACAATGAAATTCGTTATGTACTTGTCTTGTTCTCTAAGAAATATCAGAAAAACTGAGGATTTTCATCTTCAGCAATGACTAAACTCATTTAATGTAACACAATAAGATGTTAATGATAATCAACACTTTCTCTGGTCATAAAAAATCCTAAATATACTATCGAAGAAAAAGATGCATATATCATCTTCGAAGAAATGATTAGGAACAAAGATATAACGTAGGAAAGATTGAACCTCACTTCGATAGAAACTTATAAACTACCACTCAGTTATTTGAGAAAGGAGAAATACGGCATGTAGATGGTAAAAGGAGGAAGACAATATTTAGCTATGTTATACAAATTTACACGTATTCAAAAAATTCATGCATTATTAATTAAATTCACTTGCACAACTTTACAGTACATTCCAATCGATTTCATGTACTACCACACTATTCACCATTCGAAGAAAAACATACTAGAGGGGAACTTCCTATGCAAATTCTAATCTCATATCTACAATATCACCTAACCGCAAGCGCTCACTGACAAATCGGAATCAATGTCCGACTGAGTTAAGCCGAAATGAATAATACATAGCAATAGGACAGGAATACAGAAGAGGAAGAGGACGGGTGAACATGTGGATGAATAGACAGACTGAAGGGAATGGGAATGAGGACGGATGACAGACTACCTCATCGTTCTTCACATCAGACAAAAGGAAATACGACGGTAAAAATTGTTAATGTGTAGTGTACATACATACATACATACATACATACATACATACATACATACATACATACATACACACATACATACACTCTCCCATCACCAATTAGCCTAACTGAATGATGTCGGTGTGTCCATACCTCCGCTGTGTCTCTTTTTCTCCCGGGATGTATCCATTAGTTATTATCCTGACTGTAATATCCAACACCGGTCGAACTTATGTTTATTTCGCCTTACTCTAAGGGGAAAAGGTCAAAGGAGGAGTAAGAGAAAATTGCCTTCAAGATGAGTTTGTTCGTTGAATAAGTCTAAATAATTAATAAAATAAATTGAACTTTTTTGCCTCTCTCTCTCTCTCCCTCTCGTTCCTATAGAAGGACGTTGTCTTCAACTAAGCACAATCCATTCCCATTATTTTTATGATAACGATAACTGCCCATCAATATGACAAAGACTAGGACGAGCTAATTAATCGAGATGTAATGCCTTACTACCTACCATTCACTTTCTTTCATTAAAAGAAATAAATGCAATTCCCATTACATTTATCTCTATTCGATTATAATAGCTGCAGTGATCCATCACACTTTTTATCTGTTCCGATTCTCCCGAAAATTCGGAAAATGAATTATTATTAAAATCGCTAGTGACAGTAAAGCTGACTAAGGGACTAAAGATGATAAAAACATCTATTTTAAATTGAAAACTGTCCATTTCTACCATATGCAATAAAACAGTATCATTTGATAACAATATTGCTCGGAATGGAGTTTGAGAAAAAAAGCTCATATCTATCATCGATCTTTAATTTCCCTTCCAAACCAGCCAAACACCAATATGAGAGAATATGTATGATGCAAATACATTACTATAGCTGCTTCCCGACAATAACTTCCTAACCAACCTAATGAGTTGTATAGTTCTTCAACGGTGGTGATAACGATCATGTAGTAAATGATTACATTCATGTAAATAACAATAGGGATGCATCCAGGGATGAAGATATTAGGACTGTTATCGAGAGAGTGTTGGAAAATAGATAAAGTTAGTGTATTCGTGACGGGTCATTCAGCTTCCAGCACATAATATTGGGAGATTATCTAAAAATGAGCAAATATGTCGTAACAAACATCGGAAATCAGTCAATCCTTTAAATCTGTAATATAAATATAAAAATCACTGGATAATGGTTCGAAAAAGGACAACTTATGAAACGAAGAAAATCATATTTTATCAAACTATTCCGAAATGGAAAAATAGAATAAAAAAGGTTTAAAAAAGGGGAAATGTAAAAACATGACAATATTTAAGATAAAATAACCTTCAGGAATTCAGTGGGCATCATTTTCCACCATTAATCAACAGGGAGAAAATGTTCCTTTCATGAATGAATTCTAACCGAATTTGATACACATATATATTTTTCATATATATACTTTTTTTTCATATATATATATATATGAAAAATGGCTCAAATGAAATAAAATCCAAATCAATGTGAGCAAACATTGCCTTTGAAGCGTAAAAAAGAGCCTCAATCCATCTATTTAGCTCCATTGATATCTTTGAAACAGTATTTGGAGAATGAAACTGTTCGGTGTCCCGGAAAGTCAACCAAGCGGGAAACATTCCCATTGTGTTGGTGACCTAAAAAGCAGGATAGATTGAGCAAACATTCAGCTATTTAATTAGTTCATGCATACGAAATACGCAAACCTGCTTCTGGACGGCAATTGGATAGGTAGCTATACTTATGGTTTTGCTATTGATGGAAACGATTTCATTTAGTAAAATAATGGGAATATGTATGAAACTTCAAACTTCATCAAAAAATAAAAGCACATACTGTATGAAGAATGTGCAATACGAACTTCTCAAGGCATTCCTTTTTAAGCTTTTTTCCATTCTCTTCTTAATCTTATTTGTATAAGCAGCAATGTACAATCTGGGTAATCAATAAAAAATTTCACGGCTTATGATCTAGCCAAATTAATTTAAGCAACATCTTTTCCTGATTAATCCAAATCCGACAAATTTATTCAGAAATCTGGTATGTTTCCATACAACATAAGGAAAGAAATATAAAATTGTCCTAGATGGAATGATACGTACTGAATTTTTGAGAGCAAATTATTATCCAGACTCTCATAGCTTTTCAAAAATAAATGGTCTACCCTTAGTTAATAGGAGTTCGTCAACAAGAAGTTTTTGCGAATGCTACTGAAAGTCTTGAATAAATTGAGAAAACGTTTTTATTCAGTTTAGATTGGAGGGCTGAAAGGAAATTTTCTCAGAACTGAATCTGAACATATCTTTGCCCAGCATACTAATCCATCTGTTGACGATAATGATTCAATTCAATAATCAAGACAAGTTTATATGAGCAGTAATTATTACCAGCTTAGAGGGGCTGTAACGATTCAAAGACTTTTCTTTGGTGAACTTTTGGTGAACTTTTCTATGCAATGTTTAGTGACAACAGACAAAATTCAAAATTGACAGAAAAACTAACAAATTACAAATAAAAATAATTTCGTTATAAAAAGGAAAAACAAAAACGGAAAATTAAAATTGTTCGTGAAATCAATTATTAGCCTTTTTTGAGATTGATAATTCCCAAATTTCAAGTAATCTGATAAATTACGCTGACATTCTTTGACGACACAGAACTGGGAGAAGGAGAGAATTCAAGTATACTGAAAGCCCAAAACGAAAAAAATTTGTTCTCTCACTGAAATTTAAAAGGAATTGACATACAATTGAAATTGCAATAAATCACAGGCTTGAACCAAAATCTATCGAGATCATAACCCTACAGCAATATTAATCATTTTAATTAAAGCAAAATCTTTTTAAAGTAATAATTTATAATAGCCGTTACAATCTTGTTTTGAGTATAGCACAATCGGTGAAGTATTTCTGGATTGAAAGAATGGTTCAATCACTTCCTCTATCCGTTTAAAGTCCCGTTTAAACTTGTTTAGTTGTTTTATAGCAGTCGCGAAAGCAGTCGAAAGTTCGTCTACTGTGAAACTACGATCTATAAGTGCTGCAAGCAGACGAATCGCATCCACTGGGATTTCCGTGACGATTACTTCAACCACTGTTTGAGGAGCCAACGCAATGACCACTTTTTGTAAACAAGCACGAATTTGAGCCTAAAAATTTTGAAAAAAGCTTTAATCTACAGTGAATTAATTCAGAACTAACACGACACTGAATCTCACAAAATACTACAACTGATTATTAACTCTATAATCATCTCCTCTTATTAAAAATTAGAATTACTGTAAGAGATACAGAAATAAAATAGACGATTTTAATTATTTTCCTTAAAACATTTTAATTCTAATACGTAATTCGAATTAACATTATTTGACATTCAAAGAATATGGGGACTTATTTTTATTAGTATAATGAAAAGTTTCTCTCTATATTCACATTTCTATCCAGAAAAATAAGAAAACCTACTTCATTTCTTTTTCGGATATGAGCTGCAGGCTTCTCGCTTAAAGCATACTTTACGTTGAGGTTAGCAAGAGTAGCAGCTACTGGCAGTGTGCTAATTGAGTGCCTTACAGGCGAACTGGTATTTGTTATACGTTGAAATGCTTCCATAAAGGACACACCATTTTGATAAGTTTCAAACTTGTTCAACATTTCATCAAATGTAAGTTTTCCCAAGTCAACGCCATCAACACGAGCTAACACTTCATCTTCTCCGTAAACTACCAGTAGTATTTCGATATTCGTCTCGCTACAATGCTCCTGTTAAAAATTTCAATTCAATCAAAATGAAATGAGACCAAATGTTGATGCATCTTATTATCACTAACAGGAGCATAATCAAAGATCGCTTTAACAACCGTTTTCTATTACGGGAACTGCAGACAGTGGAAAGCACAAATTGCTTGAATTTTCACCTCAATTTTATCCTCTAAATTTCAATATCTTCACTTGTAGTTAAAATTTTCATTGGCGTATCTTTCAAATAAAAACAACATATCACAATGTCCCTCGTTTTTCTCCTCCCTTCCATCAGTCGAAACAATACACTAGAGAAATGCATTCCAGGAATTTGGATAAATCTTACATCAAGCTCCGTCATCCGCACTGGAGCAACCGGATCATGTAAAATATCAGCTTGGATTCCGCGTGACCACATCCGTTTCACCAAATTTGCGGTTGTTTTCAGGAGTTGATCAGAGATTGAACAAACTAATGCTTGACCGCAAAACCGACCTAAGATCTAACATTCAGATTAACCTAACTTTGAATTTTCATCAGAGGATGGAATTGCCTAAGAAACTAAATCAGAACTTAAAATCATCTGGTTTTTATAGTGAACACCATTACAGCAGCAGAATGCATGGAATGCTTTCAAGGTTGGCACAATAATTCTTTTGTAGCACATCCACATTCATTTCCATTTTCGAAATAATGAAAATTCTCTAAATAATGCTAAATAACCGACACTTTCATTATTTTTTCCACTGAGGTAATTCGAAATTAACATCATTTAACATTCCAACAGTTTGGGAACTTATTTATAATCAGACTAATCATTTACAGTTGCAAACTATATGCAATTATACGGCCTTAAGTAGAATTACTTGGTTTATTTGTACAGCAAAACTGAGCAAGAATATCAAGTGACAGACTACATCCAACCGCACACAGTGGACTGGGAGGAATTAGATCCTGTGCATGACGCTCGTCTTCTAGCAAGGTATCGTATCGACCTATAAATGAAAGATGTCATTTTCCTTGCTGAAGATTAAAAAGCTAAATGGCGACAAACTAACCTCCAGCACCAATAATGACAGGTTGCGTTGTCTGTCTATGGTGAAAGAGTACTCGCAGTTGAAACATGAGACCACTGCAATATGTATGCGGTCGATAACAGAAAGTGCCATCGAATAAGATGTGCTCAGTCATATCATCTGAAAATAAATACAATATGAAATGAATATACGCCACATTGCTCTATATAAAACGAGAAAGCCGTACCATAGGATAATTTTATTATCCAATTAAAATAAATAAAAGAATTATCTGTTGTACTATTTCTGCCTCCTATACAACGCCAGTAAAAATTTCGTAAAAATAACAAAGACTCAAAATTTGGACTACAAATTAACACATCTTCAAGTTTCTATGGAAATTAGAACATTTACCAACGAAACATTCTAGTAGTACGGCTAAATGTGTGATATCACTTAACGCCCTCTCGGCGTGCTTCCGGACACGATCATCACGACAGTTTACCAAACATTCCACCCTTGCCGTTAATGCTTCTAATGTGCGATCATCGCCTTCCAGGACATTCAATAGTGAGTTTGCTTGATTGAATGACATTTCCGTACCGACTCGAAGTCGCTCGATTTTTTGTTCATGACTAAGTGTTTCTGAAATTAAAAATACTGAACAGTATCCGAACAAGTACTGAAAATCTCTAACTATTAACCATCAGTAGAATACACCAGACATAACTTTTTTATGACTTGTTGATAGAACTCACAACTCTGGACAGTTTCACCATCCGTTTTTCATATTGATCTGAGCCACTTTAAGTCACCGACATGCAAGAAGCGGTAGTTCATTCTTAACAAATTGTTACCTTCTTTGAATAGGTAATATTCATATACTTCTATAATTCCGGGTACTCAATCTTGGTTATAATATCGGAATTTTCCACGGAAATAGAATTTCCAACAATAAACAGCAAAACTAACTGTTTGATGTTGCGATCGCATAAAGAATATTCAATATTTTGTTCTGTGTATTGGAATCGCCGAAACCGAGATATAGAGAAGTGGCAATAATTAAATCTCGATGTCCCAATCGGATTTCCCATTTACACGACGATATACAATCAAGCTGATGAACTGCCTCGACAGTAATGCAAAGTATATCAGCTGTAAGCATATGAGATGAACTTACCGGACCAATAGCATCAATAGCGAACTCGACGCGCTCAACAGGATGCATGCTAACTGCAAACATGTTACATGTAAGAGATTACGATCATAAATGTATTTTTTTTTTAATTATAAGAACGGGATAGACCTTGTAAATGTGTCACACTCATCAAATTTCAGTTTTACTACTATATAAAAAAAACATTTCTAAACGTTTTATATGATTTACACCATAATATAATGAAATTTCAAATAACATTTAGGCAGCATTTCGTACAGATGTTCAGGTTGGAACGAATACTTCTATAAGCTAAATAAACCAAATAGTTAATAACATACAGCTAGAAATAATACCAATCATATAAAACACATTTAAAAAAGTTGTTCTAGAAGCTTAATAATATTGTTGGTTGATATTTTGAAATAAACGGCAGTAGAAATTACTGACTAAAATGTAATATGGAACATTTTTATTCCAACAAAAACCAACTTCTCCATATAAAGAAAGTACCAATCATACAAAACATCTAAAACATAGTATCAATCATATAAAACACTAAAATCGTATGTCATGTTTGTCAAAAATGAAAATTTTACCAAAAGCATCGGGACGTCCAAATACTTTACCACAACCATATCTTTTCAAACGATTTACCCCATTACGAACGCAATAGCGTGCAAAAGCTCGTCGTAAGTCATACTAAAAGCATCATTTCATTTGCATGATGGTCATATTATTACGATAAAAGTAGTTGGACGTTAAGTAAAGCCAATCATTATACTTGACTTGGTGTTCTTAATCAGACTATTTCAGAGCAAATCGGTAGTTTATTTATACCCCAAGAAACCAATCACTAAAAACGTGCCTTCTAGAGTTACTTCAGCCTTTTCGTATGTATGGCTTAATCAATTCAGAAAATGAATAATATATAATATATATATAATATATGAATAATATATAATATGATGGATAGTCGGCCTGTTTTTCAACTTTCCTGAACAGTATCAAACCTGGTTTAGAAAACCAGGAAAGTCTGTCACAAGTACGACAACTTATCGATATTTTGCCCAAAAACCTGCATTAATCTTTAAG